CAGCGGCCTGTGAGAGACCACCACTGGGAGCACCCAGGGCCAGTTTGGCCGTGCAAGAGTTGTTCACTGCCCAGTAATGTTTTGTTGGTGTGTGCTCACCAGCACCGTGCAACGACACTGGATGAGTGGTGGTGTAATGCTGGCAACGGAGTGGTCAGCTGAGCAGTGGTGTCACAGCAAAACTGCGTTCTTTGAATGGTGCAGTGCGAGAGTATCAGAGTGGTAAGAGGCTTGTTAGTCGCTTAGAGATAAACACAAGCAGACTAAGGAAGAGAAGTTTGCCCTTGGGTTCTTAGAAAATAGCGTTTAAAGCCCTGTAGCAAAAGGAGGAACATGGATTTTATTTCTGCTGTAACTCCAAGGGATCAAGGTGGCTTGGGGTAGCCAGGAGGTCTTGTCTGCCACAGTCCTAAAGAGAAGACAGTGAAGGACCTAGCTGCAAAGCTGACCTTTTGGCCATTGGGAGTCTATGAATGCAGTGCCCCACAGAGAACTGTTCCAATCCCATCTGTGTAGCTAATCCCGGCTATTCTGGTCCAGGAGTCTAATATTAGGAGTGGCTGTAGGGGATGTCAGGGAGTGGGAAGCTGCAGAGGGAGCACATTACATCTAGTCTGCCCGTGGTTTTCAGGGCAGACAGTGCTGCTGTGTGTAGTAACACTGGCTGCAGGGAGAAAACACAGGTGGAGAGCACACCGCTTGCAACCTGGTTCTGTTCAGTTTCTCAGGGTCAGGTGCTATCACCTGATCTTGCACAAGTTTATGCCTGTGTCATGTCCTTGCCTGAAACTCATACTAATGAGTCCTGAGTGCTGGATGACTCTAGAGTTTGCATTTGGAATGGGAAGTGGAAATGAAATTTTTACTGAAATGCTTCCAGCTTTAAGTGTCAGACAAAGCTCTGGAGAGACAGGAGGTGCGCTATTTTCAGCCACGCTCCGGTGAGAGATCCATGGTGCATGGAGGGTGAGATTGACATGACACGTGTGTGGGACAACTCTGGCCCCTTACCAAGAGCAGAATCAAATGTCTAATCATAGGCAGAGCAGCAGCTGAGAGTCCAGAAGAGCAGGGAAGGCTGGGCTTGACAGTCTCAACTCTCCTCTTGTGTGTGTGTGAACTTCAAGGAGAAAGTGAACAGAGGGCCTTTTGGCGGACCGGGGAATAGTCGTGAGAATTGTGGAGATGGGAGTAGAAGATACGACCTGTTAAGAACTGGAGTCTGTTTTGAAGTTGGGAAGACAAAATATCCAAAGTGAAGAAATCATGGGAGCTGAAGAAGAAATGCTCATCACTCTGTCTGGAGGTGCCCCCTGGGGCTTCCGGCTGCAAGGGGGTTCAGAGCAGAAAAGACCCCTTCAAGTGTCAAAGGTAGGACCTCGAGATGTGAACTGTGAGGGCAGAGGTGTTCTGTTGAACTCAGATATCCCTACCGAGTCAGGTATCTCTCACTACCGCTAAGGAATGCAGGAACTCCTTACTGTGGCAGCAGATCTTAAAAGGAAAACTTGGGTGGAATGGTCAGGCAGGATGTGGGGTGGGATACAGGTCCTGAAATAGATGCTACTGAGGTAGAGACAAGTGTCAGGTGAAGACTTGCTTCAGTGCAGGTCCGTACAGCTTTCACCAGTTGTCAGCAGAGATGCAACCATAGTGACGGTGCAGGTAAAAGGTATCAAATATGGAAGCTTCAGCACTTGTGTAAGACATACAACTAAAGAAAAAATAATTTAAAGTGAAGCAACAAAAGCCATGTTTGTAATTCAATCCAACTGTCCCTAACAGTTCAGTTCTATATTCCAGCTTTCAAAATAGATGCTCATTTCTTATGGTCTCTTTGGTTGGTGAAACTTTCTCAGTATTGTCTCAAGTGAGTATTTTCATGCTCTAAACAGCAAATATTGGTTCCATTTCAAGAATTAAAGAGAAGCAGTTGTTTGGATGGCAGATGAAATAATAAAAAAGGAATAAACATGAACCTTGAGTTGCACTCCTTTTGATAAACAGCTGTTACTGTTCTCTTTTCATAAAGCATACTGAGTAGCTTAAAAATTAGGAAAAGAAGTCCTCTATTTATTAAGCTCATAACAGCTGCATTATCCTTGACACAATGATATCTTGGGATGTCTCACTGGAAGGCGCCCAGCAGCAGGGATGAAAAAATGCTGTGCCCAGCTCCTTCTGCTTCCTTAAGCAGGCTGCGCCTCTGACAGAGAATTTTAAAATGAAATGTTCTGTGTCGTTTGGCTCACCCCAGGTCAAGGAGTATTTGTAACTTCTGCCAAATGGTTTGGAATCCCATAGCTTGGCCCTGAAGTGGATGTTTCTTACATAGAGAAAGATGATTTTTCTCCAGGAAAACAACTTCTGCACATACAGAGCTTCAGGTGCTGAAGAGAAAATCAATATCATTGAAGCAGGTATCTGGCATCAGTGGTTGTTAGGAAAATGGGATTTTCAGTGGCCACATAAACTCTGTAGAGTCTAGGCTATTCTGTTGACTTTTGTTTTTCCCCCAATAGACAAGAAACTGGGACTGAAGAGAGAAGAGATACTGTGTCTTATAATGATTAGTCAGGACTAAACAGCGGCAAGAACTGGCCATTACCCAGGCTAAGTTGCACCTTAAGATGAATGGAATATTGCTCAAGGATTAGTGGCACTTCCAGAAAGGTATTAACTAGAAGTAGCTCTCACCCAGAACTAGGTGTCATACCTTAAGTCTAGCAAGACAAATATATATATATATTTTACAATACTTGGATATTGCATAAAAAAATAGTTATGGAAAATATAATTGATGCAAATCCATTTGAGGCTTAAAGTATACGCCACTCTTCAAGCAGAACTTTGATTTTATAATTATCATTTTGGGCTATTATTGTCCAGAATTTAATGACCACACATATGCACTTTCTTAAAGGCAACACCGTTTAAACAGCCTCCAAAGAAAGGATTTACAGACCCTTACTGGGAACCGAGTAAGATCATATCTGTATGTAAACTGCTTAGAAGAGAATAAACCCCCAGGAGTCGTAGAGTAACCTAACTGTCATCCTCTTACTGTGCAGAAAGCAGAAGTTTGAATCTCAGTTTTCAGCTCTTTAAGTTTAAAGATCAACTCTTCATTCTTCTGCAGTTAGGATTCTGCTATTGACACCAGCAGGATGAAGTCTGGGCCAAAATGCTGCCTGCAAAGCATCTTCCAAAACTCTAACATCATTAGCACTGTCCATTTGGATATTTTGGGAGCCAAAGATGGAAATGGTCCCATCGCTAAAGACGCCTGACCAGGGATTGCGGCCACAGGATATAGCATGGAGAAACAGGACAGTATTCTGTAGTAGTCTGTTTCTCTATTAGTTTGTTGGAGCTGAGACTCATGTAGATGAGCAATTCGCTCTGTTCGGCCTCCATCCAGAATGCCAGTGCCATTGGGCAGCACTGGGAAGTGTGGTCAGAGGGAGGTGTCACTGAGATTGAGCCTGCCTAGCAGAGGTAAGGTCAAATAGCAACACAGTGTTCATTAGTACGGTGAAGAATGTGTTGTGTGTGTAAGGAAAGACAGATTAGATAAATGAGAGAGTCTATTAGTGAGCTGATTGCTGTCAGAGAAAGAGAAGTGTTCATATGGGACCAGGAAAACTTTGGCTTAGCAGAACAGAAATATTAGCACTTTGGTTCTTACAGCAAAACCTATTTGGACAGAATGAGGAAGGACAGAACAGGAACATGGATGAATCTGGAGAAAATGTGATAGGAAGTACAGATGTGAATATCCAATAGGTGCCAGGAGATAATTGAGTGGATACAGTTAGTGTCTCAGGGGTCTGCTATATGGTTTCTTTTTTCTTCTTTTTTTTTTTTGAGACGATATGGTATTTAATGACATTAGAATGTTTTCAGCGTTATTCTCTATCCTCTTCAAATACATAGGTGGGCCTCTACTTGATTGTTCTGTCATAAGCTTTTCACACTGATGACTTAAATTATTGGCTTTTTCAAGCTGCAGCTAACTCAGAGTGTACAGTGAGCATACCATCTACCTTCTACTACCTTGTAGTGCAAGGTATTCAACTGGCCACAACTAAATAAAGTAAATGAACATGTTGGAAGTGGGGTGTGAACTCATTTTTCTACAGACCAAAAGGATGCATAGCTGTAGTTTAAACCATTTGACCAAGCAAGGGATCAATTCTAAACCTCGGTCCAGCCAACACAGAGGGGTCGAAGAGCAGCTGGATCTTCACGTGCTGGATCCAGCTGCCACAGAGCTTCTGTGCCATCTGACTCCCTGTGGGTTAAGGGTTCAGGGACATGCTTAGAGCAAAATGCTGCAATTATATACCTTGTGGACAGCCTGGGCCATACATAACTAGCTGCGTGTTCAAGTAACCTTACGGAGCCAAACCAGCTCTGCCTGCCTCAGGATCAGGGAAACACACATTGCTTCTTTCAAGCAGTGCTCAGTGGATATTGAGGAAAAAGCTCAAATTTAAATAGCACAAGCAAGACTGAAATGTTAGTATTAACACTAGCTAACTATATGGTTCCAGATCTGTAACTGCAAATGTCCATTCCTTTAATCTTAAACTTGCCTACAAGAGCACATACTGACTATTTTGTTCCATTCAAACAATAATTTGCAGTGTCTGGGTGCTAAAAATGTCTGATGTGTATACGAAAGGGGTACCATAAAAATTCAGTCTCATGAAAACAGATACTGTAAAAGCAGAGTGTGAGACAAAAGAAGAAGTAAAAGAAAATTTATTACTGTCTGGGAAGCCCTCAGTGAGAAAGAATAGATGATTTTTAAATTAAGGTTGTATTAAAATATCAATTGAGTAATGAGTAAGCTGAAAGAACAGCAGACATTGATATGCTCAGCAGGCAGATACGCAGCAGGATCAAACATCAACAGAGGACATGAATATTTCTGCAGAAATTAGGAAGGAGTGGAATATAGAGAACTAGAGAAACAAATAAAGGGGAAAATAAAGAGTAAAGAACCCAAGAAGGAAAAGAAAATCCCCATTTTGTTCTTAGTTACAGCAACGTCCTTTTAACTGAAATTAGTCGAACTACTGTGCATTCATATTTGGCTTATTGTGATTCCTAATGAATCTTTTATCCAGTGAAGCAGATAAAGTATAGTGGAATTTTACACTACCCCTTACCAAAATAAAGCTGGCATGGTACAGCTCAATAGCTGTGGTGCACATGGCAACCCAACCCAACAAATCTTTGGCCAGAAACAGTCATCAGGAAAGAAAGGAAAAAAGCATAAAAGCAAGTAACAAAAAGCATCCATAGATGGCAAGATTTTTATTTTAGAAAGGCTGAAGGAAAAATACATGGTGCTGACATGTACAGCGTTCCTTGCAAGAAGAAGCTATAAATCATGAGAAAGTTCACTCATTCTAAAAAGAGAGTAAGGGTGAACAATACCATCAGGTTCCTCGAGGATTTCTTTGCAATAAGGATATGTGCATCAAATGCACTTGAAACTAAGCAAAATGTAAAATAGCTAGTCTGAGCAAAGTCACAAGACAGGACATAAGCATTAAGCTCATAATCAACCAAAGTAGAAACATAACATGGAACTACATTAGGAAAGTAATTTTTATGGAGATGAACAGTGCAGCTTTTAGTTGGTGCAAGTGCTTGCAAAGCTGACTTTACAGATCCTGTTGCAAACCAAGGTTTATTCCATGAGAGGGAAACCCAGTTACTCACTATACAAAGCAAGGAAGGCATTTGCACCTCTAGCTAGTCTAGTGCATTAGTAATACTGAAGAAATAAGTGGAAACTGGAGGCTTTCCAGCTGGTACTGATAGTAGAGGAGAAAGACCTTGGTGTATTATGGCATCACAAGAGGATAATGAGCCAGCAAAATGATGCATCTCTGAAAAAAAGGCATACAGAAACAAATAATCCTCAGGTAACCATATCTAACAGATAGGAAAGTACTGATGTTACTGTCTAATGCACAAGTGGGAATTCACTGGAAATATCATCTCACCTGTGGAGCCAGCTGCTTCCAAGAAAAATGAATTTAAGGTGGATCACCTATAGAGAAGGAAGGGAGGAGAGAAGGCTTCTTTCACCTAGTGAAAGGTTGAAAAATAATAATCACTGTCTACAAATAGATGTTGGGCGAGTACCAGCAGCCCTGTTCAAATATAGGACAACATGTCACCGATCAAATGTGCACAAAACAAATAACCAGGGAGGTTCAGCAAAAACTTTCCGATCTAGAAAATAATTGAAAACCTTTTGCAATCAGTTTGTGAACTGGAGTAAACAATATGGTATCTGAAACAACAGAGGATTGGCCTTGATAACTCGAGAGGCTCCTTTCAGTTCCCTG